GACAGACATGGACAAAAAGACAAGAGACAGACATGGACAAAACGACAAGAGACAGACATGGACAAAAAGACAGGAGACAGACATGGACAAAAAGACAGGAGACAGACATGGACAAAAAGACAAGAGACAGACATGGACAAAAAGACAAGAGACAGGACTGGAAGTGGCAGAAATGAAGATGTTGAGGTTCTCCTTAGGAGAGACAAGGATGGAGAAGATCAGGAATGAGATCATCAGAGGTACAGCACAGGTTGAACAACTGGGAGATAAAGTTGGGACATGTCCAAACCATCTCAGTGTGTCCTCTCTGAGGAGGGATAGTGGTTTGGACATGTCCAGAGGAGGGACAGTGAGCATATTGGCAGAAGGATGTTGGAAATGCAGCTGCAGGAAAAAACACAGAGAAGACATATGGATGCAGTTAGAGAGGACATGGAGGTAGTTGGAGTGAGGACAGATGGAGGAGGATGACTTGTTGTGGAGACACCTGAAGAGGGAACAGCTAAAAGAAGTAGTACTTGAGAGTCATCCCCAACACGTACTTAAAGTGCTAACAGATCTTTTGAGATCATCATGCATCTTGTCATTTTTCAAAATAAGAACATTATAATTTTTTCTACAACGTGTTTTTCATTCACTGATTGTTCTTAACCCGTTTCCATCAATATATCGGATCTCATCTCGTCCCCTTTGAACAAGGGAGTCAGATCCTGCTGAGTCACTGGTTCTGTTGTTATTTGGCAGCTCTTCTTTGGTAGTTTTCCATCATGGCCGCTCCCTTAAACCTTAGAAAATTTCAGCAATTTTGTCACCTAATAACTTCTATATGTAAGAGAACCTAATCAAAACGTGGCCACAATTTAGCATTTAAATTAAAAAGTAAAAATTAAAGGGCATACAGGAAGTGGAACGTGGCATTTCAAAATAAAGGTTGTAAACATTGTTCAGAATAAAAGTCTCGTATCACCTGCTGACCAGTGTTTTAGACTAAAATGATGTTATGTTGAGAAACAAAGGAGTTGGAGCCACTTGGATCAAATCTTGATTTTTTTTTGGTATTGCTCGGAGCACGTGTTAAGGATGACTCAGCTACTACCACACCAGACTCAGTTATATCCATTTTTTTATTAAGGTGGATTAGCTGAGGCAGTTTGTATCCAATGAATACTTTCTGAAAGTTTCACTAACATCCATCCACTGGTTGATAAGATATTTTGCTAACAGACAGCTCAATACCTAGTTTAATAGTCAGAGTCCTACCTGCAGCATGGCTCACTCAAATATGAGAGCACGATGTAGAATAATGACACTTCCCTTTTTAAAAACATGTTTTTTGTTTTCAGCTCTTCTGGTGGTCGCGTTCCTTTTGGCCATAACGGCCCTCTTGTTTGTCGTGGTACCGTACGTCTACAGGTGAGTTTTTATTACCCAGAGCAAAATGTCTCCTGCCCATCAGAACACACCTGAACTTCCATCTTTTACAGGAGACGTTGCACAAAGTGTCGTAAAACCCTCTGCTGCCAAGATCCACAGTACTCCGTAGATAACGTAAGCAACACACTTCCTCTAATGACTGCATTTGTGTCATATCCTGATGAACTGCATCAGATGAAACCGATCGACCATATTTAGACCATAATTTAATCAGAGGACTTAAATGAGGAAGTCCAGATAAATGATTTTATGGAGATTCTGAGCAACGAGCCGCACCGTGCAGCACTTCTCACTTCACCGACTCCTTCAAGGCTTTCCTCGCAGAGGAGCTAACGTTGACCAACTCAAAGATTTATCAGTTTTGGACCGTCAGAGCTCACTGTTGCAAAATAAATCACTTCTGCTTGCCTTTGTGTGACCGAAGGTGTTCCCCAGGGTTTGGTTCTGGGCTCACTTTTTATTTTATGTATCAACAATTTTTTTCTGAAACGATGGGGAGCAAAAGTATTTGTCTCTGTTGGTATTGCTTTTATTTCTTTTCTTTTTTTCCTTATGACCTGGAATGTGTTGGTTAAAATTATTCTGCAAGTTAAATGAGGTAGGTCACTGGTTCAACTCCCCTGACCGACAACATCAAAATGTGATGGGAAAGCTGAAACACAGCACCTGCCTCCACCCTCACTTGCCCCACTCTGGGCCCTTGAGCAAGGCCCTTAACCCCCACCATCTGCTCCCCCGGGTGCCCTAGACAGCAGCTCTCTGCTCCACACAGAGGGCTGTGGTAGCTCAGTGGGCTGTGGTTGAGTCAGGAAGAACATCCGGCGTAAGTCTTTGTACGAGTTAGTTCGCTGTGATGACGACCCCTGAAGAAGGAGCAGCCAAAAGAAGAAGATTTAAATAAATTATATGTTAAATGAGATAAAAACTTGTTTAAAATAATTCTGAACAAATAAAACTGAAAAATGGTGCGTGCATATGTATTCAGCCCCCAAAACCTAATACTGTGTAGAGCCACAAGTGTCTTCAGGTCTGTCTCCATGATCTTGGCCCATCTAACCTGGACTTCTGTCCGTTCATGTCCTAACATCTCCAGCACCTTCAGTTTGGACGGTTGCCGCTTGTGTCCAACAGTCTTTCAATTAAACCAGAGACTCTCAGTTGAACAGAGGTCTGGTATTTGACTGGACCATTCCAGGACCTTGACTGGTCCTCCTTAAACCAGTGACGGGTTCTTCAGCAGGGTGTTCAGGATCATGATCCTACTGGAAGGTGGAGCCCAGTCCCAGATCTATGGAAGAATCGGTCTGTTTTTTTGCTGCATCCATTTTTCTTAACTGACTAAACATCCCCGCAGCATGATGCTGCCTCCACCATGCTTCACTGTGAGGATGGTATTCTCATGTTGATAGGTGATGGATTTGCTGTAGACATCATGCTCCTGATGGTCTCATCGGACTACAGCACCTTCCTCGTGTGTTGGAAGGGGACAAAATCCAAACAGTTGTGCTTTTTTCTTGAATCAACATTTTTTATGGAGAACAAACATTGTGCAGCTTCTAGTAGACCTGTAGACCGATTCTTCTTATCTCAGCTCCATCAGGGTTATCTTTGTCCTGGGTGTGTCTGATTAATGTCCTCCTGACCTGCTCCATGAGTTTCAGTGGACGATCCTCTCTTGGCACGCTTGCTGTGATGACATCATCTTTTATCTCCTATTAATGGATTTAATGGAGCTCCATGGGATGTTTATGGTTCTGGGATATTTTTATGATCCAACTCTGATCTGTACTTCTCCACAACTTCGTGACTGACTTGTGCGGAGAGTTCCTTGGTCTTCATGATGTCCCTTGCTTGGTGATAGCTCAGAATAATTAAAGGATGGATTCCATCAGAACAGGTGGATATACTGAGATCATCTGACATGGCTAAATAAAAAAAGAACCCCAAGAACAATGCCTGAAACTCTCATATTCAGACGAGTAAAAATACTTTGTGTCCTGCAGGAAAAAAGATCCTTTTGAACTCAAACGTGACCTCGATCCAGCAGTTACATTGCATGCAGCCTGAGATGCAACAAAACTGATCCGAGACTCCAATCATGGAGCCGTTTGGGAGACACTAATGGAATGATTGATACAAATGTTAGCAGAGCCCGTTGATCGGAGCATCCATCCAGTCCTCTCTCTCTGCGGCAGGAGCCAGCGGTCAGCAGCTCGAACAGCTCCTCTCATTGTACCGAGCAGGACGTCTCTGGCTTCCATATGGTGTTTGGATGGCATACAGATCCATCATGACGTATTAGAGCTGGTGTCTTCCTGCTCTGGTCCTTTATACTGCTGCAGAGGGGCCAGGAAGTCAGGCAAATCCAGCCGAGAGCCGGCAGGAGCTCTGGCTTCGCAGAGAGGCGGAAAAACTCTGAAAGATGTGATTTAAAAAAAAAAAAATAAAAGTTTGGATCTAAGTGCTATTTTGATCCTTTACTTTTGTTCTTGTTTCGTGGGCTCTTTAAAATACATGACTGCATTTTATTGTTTCTAAAAATTCTCCCCCCATCGGCTCTTCCAAAGAAAAATCTTTAATATTGATCGAAATAATCCATTCAAGTGACAAGTCAAGTTTCTTTAATTTGTACCACACGGTCCCAGTTACATCCAACAAAAGTATAAATTGTAAAGAAAAACAGCGATAAGATCTAAGATATGAACTGAGAACTACGCTAAACTAAGAATATGCTAAGCTCTAATTGTACAGAAACTACGCTGAACAACAGCAGCACGAACAGAGTAACATGAAACAGATCAGCAGCAACATGAAACAGATCAGCAGCAACATGAAACAGATCAGCAGCAACATGTGATTTTTTTTTCACAATGATTATTCTGGTTAGAGATTCATGAGTCTAACAGCCTCAGGGTAGAAGCTGTTCCTCAGTCTAGTGGTTCTACACTTAATGCTCCTCAACCTCCTTCCTGAGGAGAGCGAGGCAAAAAGTGTGTGTGCTGGGTGAGTGGGGTCCTTCATGATGCAGGTGGCCCTCTTCCTGCATCTGGAGGTGTAGATGTCTGTGATGGTGGGGAGGCTGACTCCAACATCTTCTGTGCAGCCTTCACCACTCTCTGCAAAGCTTTTCTTTCTGCAGCTGTGCAGCCTCCATGCCACACGTTGATGCTGGAGCACAGGATGCTCTCCACTGCACACCTGTAGAAGGAGGTGAGGACTGAGCTTCCAGACCAGCTCGTCTCAGCCGTCTGAGGAAGTAGAGTCTCTGATGAGCTTTCTTGATCAGGCTGGTGGTGTTGTTGCTCCAGCTGAGGTTGTTGTTCAGGTGCACACCCAAGTACTTGTAGCTGGAGACCACTTCCACCACAGATCCTCTTATGTTCAGGGGGTTGTAGGTGTGTTTGTTTCTTCTGAAGTCCACAATCATCTCCTTTGTCTTCTTCACATTGATGTGAAGGTTATTCTCTCTGCACCAGCTCTCCAGATGTTCCACCTCTTGCCTGTAGCTGGACTCATCATTATTTGTGATGCATCCCACCACCGCTGTATCATCTGCAAACTTTACAATGTGACAGCCTGGATGGGTAGCTGCGCAATCATACGTGAGCAGAGTGAACAGGAGGGGGCTCAACACACATCCCTGAGGAGAGCCGGTGCTGATGGTTATGATTGAGGAGAAAAAGTTGTGGATCATCACTAACTGTGGTCTGTTTGTTAAGAAGTCCAGGACCCAATTACAAATGGAGGGGCTTAGTCCTAGTGTGAGTAGTTTGTCCATCAGGGTTTGGGGGATCATGGTGTTGAAGGCAGACATGTCCACAAAGAGCATACGGACGTAAGAGTCCTGCTCCAGTGGTTGAGCGCAGTGTGGACCACAGAGGAGATGGCGTCCTCTGTTGATCGGTTCTCACGGTATGCATACTGATGAGGGTCCTCGCTGATGTTGATGGTTGTTTTGATGTGAGTTATGACCAGTCTCTCAAAGCATTTAGCGACTATCAGGGTGAGGCCGATGGTCATTCAGACCAATCACTGTAGAGCTCTTGGACACTGGGATGATGGTGGTGGTCTTCAGGCAGGTGGGAACTGTTGCCAGGGTGAGTGAGAAGTTAAAGATGTCTGCCAGCACCTCGCAGAGCTGATCGGCACGTTCTTTCAACATCTTCCCTGGGATGTTGTTTGGGCCAGTGCTTTGTGAGGATTAATCCTCCTGAAGATCCCTCTCACTTTAAGAGTTTCTGACCTTTAGATTGTTGTTTATGTAGTTATTAAAAATTAGTTCATTTTCCTGTTCTTGGATTGTCTGCATCAGAACAAAATAAAACATCTGGTCTTCATCAGGTTCTAAAATTAGACCAATCAAACCTCAGGTGAACAAAAACACAACAGATTTTGCTGAGTCATTATTTCGTAAACTAAACTGGGTTCCAGTTCTGACCCAGCAGCTCTAGAACCTCCCTCTGCAGCAGAACTCTATGGTTCTCTGTCTCTCGTGGTTGTGGAGGAGTTCTGGCCCACTCTTCTTTCCATCGATGCTTCAGTTCATTGAGGTTTCTGCTCAGCTCTCTGAAGGTTTCCACCACAAACCGGTTTAGGTTCTGGACTCTGGACTGTTGCAGCACCTTGGCTCTGCTCTTTCTGACCCGTTCTGTTGTAGATCAGCTGCTGTGCTCTGGATCTTGGTCCTGTTGGACCCAGTTTGGTCCAAGGTTCAGTTTTTGGACAGATGGACTCACATTTGACTCCAGAACCCTTTGGTCTACAGAGGAGTTCTGGTCCACTCCGTGACTGACAGGAGCCCAAACCATCAGCCCTCCACCACCATGCTGACAGATGAGCTGTTTGCTGCAGTGCATTCTGGGTAAACATTTGTCCTTTGGTCTGGTTCTGGTCCAGAAGTCTGGTGGTTCTTTCAGATAAAACTTTCCAAGTCTAAGTCGTGCTGCCATGTTGTGTTTATAGAGAAGAGGCCATGACCTTTGACCTTTAACCTGCTCACAGAGGCCTGTAGAGTCTTAATTGGAGCTCACTGCACAGTCTGACCTTCAGGGTGAATCTTCTGTGAAGATTGTCAGCTGTGTTAAATGTTTTCCACTTGTGAATAATCTTTCTGTAGAACGTTGGACAACAAATGACCTTTGACCCTTCCCATAACGATGAAGAGCAACATCTGCTTCTGAGGTCATTGCTGATGTCCTTCCACCTTGGTGTTGTGTTAAAACACACCTGGATGCTCCAGACAAGCAAAAACTGCAGTTTTTCTAGAGGTGGTCCCACTTGGTTTTATTTTGAAAAACCCTTGAATTGTAAAGTAAAAAAACCTCCATTACTGAACCCTTAAAATAGTAAAATATTGTTGAAGCAACTTCCAGTCTAACCACATACGACCCAAAATGATGTTTAGTGCAGATCATGATTGTTGCCTCACTTCTACAGGATGATGGTGAAACTGCAGAAAGTCCCGGTAAAGCCAAACCGTCTCGCCTGCTCTCTCTGGACACTTTCCGAGGGTACGTATCTCATCAACAACCATCCTGTTTATCAGTCTATCACCACATGCTGATCTTTCAGCGCGGTCTGAGGCACAATGAAAATCTACAGACCCTGTATAATGAACAATTACAGGGGTCACAGTCTGGCCACATGCTCCCTCAACGCCGCTGTTATCAGGCGCTATAGCTTTGGGCATGACTGATACGACTGCGTCCCGGGTTTGAAACAGAGTGTTTCTGTTGGACAGGAGTGATGCATGTGATTGAATCTGGGCTCCCTACAAGTCCTAATTGTGGCCTGGGGCTGGACACTAAGCACGCCTCTCTGGAAACAGGATGCTGGCGTGGCTTTGGCCTTCCTGTTGCCAAATAATTGATGCAATAATACCATCAACATATCATCACACGTCCACAGGGCCGTAGATCTGCTGCCAAACTGGAGCTGCAGCAGCAAGAGGATCATATCCAGCTCCAGCTTCCTTTTGGGGAAAAGCTGAAATCATTAAGGACACCTTCACTCTGGATGGTGACTGCTAAATAACCTAATACTGCAAATCTGGAGAACCTCCTTCAGTGGGAAGGCCATGATGACTCTGGTTTGCTCTTAGTGCTCGAAATAATAGACTTTCCCCCAAACATTTTCCATGCACTCTCCTGCAGCCTCGCCACGCCCCGTACATCAGCAGCACGTTCTCATGACATCACGCACACTTACAAGCACATCTGCCCCCCCCCCCCCCAGGTAGGACTTATCAGAACACATCAGACTGAAGCTACAGCCTAGAACAGCGGTGCCCAGTCCTGGTCCTGGAGGATCATCCTGCATGTAGATTAGATGTTTCTCTGTGTTGACACACCTGATGAGTGATTAACAGGTTTCTGCAGAACTTGAGGACATGCTGAGGAGCAAGGGAACCGCTAACCATGCAGGATAGAGGCCCTCGAGGACCAGGATGGGACACCACTACCCTAGAAGATTACGCCATGCTAGCACAAAGCTACCGCCACAGGTATCACACCTGCAGTAGGTTGTTTTTATGACCGTGTCACAATTATGGTTGTAGCTGAGGCTCGAGACCAGTCCCGTTTCAACATCTGCACAAGAAAGCCACATTGGTGCGAGCTGGTCCCCCATCATGGAGCCACCCGGGACCTTGATGATAAACCACCGTAACTGATCCTGCTACTGAAGTGTGCATCATTGACTGATCACGTCCTATCATGGTTAACCTAAAGACCCTGCTGAGACCCAGCAAATATTGTCCACGCTCTGGTTGAGATCTAGTGAACAAGGCCAGGCTGATTCTGGCAGATCCCGATCACCACTCCATGGTGAGTTCAGGTTGCTTCCATCTGGACGTAGGTATCTGCTGCCCAGATGTGGAACGAACAGACTGAAAAACGCATGAATTCCTGTAGAGATCAGACTTCTCAACCAACAATGATGGTTTCCGTACGGTTATTTTAACGTCTCAATGTCTTGTTTAGTCTGGACGTTTTATGTTTCTACTGACTGAAACTAAATTGCCCCTTGGGGATAATGAAGGTACTTGAACTTGAATGTTCTTAGTTGGGTTGTTGCTTTGTGTGAAAGGTCCTCGACCTCATAAACCAAATCCAAAAAACAATATTTGTTAGCAAAAGGTTGGATTACCCTCTCCGGGTCAGGGTGAGGTGCTGCCTCGAGAGACAGACTTCAAGTATCTCAGGGTTTTGTTCTCAGTGAGGGAAGAATGGAGCGGGACATCAACAGACTGATCGCTGCTGCAGCTTCTGCAGTTTTATGGACGCTGTGCTGGTCCGCTGTGGTGAAGCGGGAGCTGTGCTGCAAGGAGAAGCTCTGTTTATCAGTCGGCCTGCGCTCTTAACCTCACCTGTGGTCACGACTGAAAGAACGAGGTCAGTGGTCTGAATGAGTTCTGCAGGGTGGCTGGATTCTAGATAAGGTGAGAAGTTCAGTTCTCCAGGAGAGACTCGGAGTAGAACCGCTGCTCCTCCACATCCAGAGGAGCCAGGTGAGGAGGTTCAGACATCTGGTAAAGATGGACCCTGGACACCTCCCTAGGGAGGGGTTCTGGACAGGTCCACCTGGGAGGAGACCCCGGGGAAGACCCAGGAGACGCTGGAGAGACGTCTCTCATCGGGTCTGGGAACTCTGGAAGAGTTGGCTGGACCTCCCCGCTCAAGCTGCTGCCCCGAGACCTGAGCCCAGAACCTCATGAAGGATGGATGGACCCACAGTATAAATTGCTCCCCAGTATTTTGTCCAGTTCAACCGCTGAAGTACATTTTCATCAATCTGCCAAAGCTCAACAGACATTTCAGTTCCTCCACTTGTCGACGTCCTCCATCTTGTTCTCTGAAATGTTAATCTGAGGTTACAGACACTTGTCACGTATGGACGTCCTGATTGGTGGCGCTGGAACGTCTCATCCCTGACGAGACATTTAATCAAGCTGGAGACGGATGCTGCAGGTGTCTCCTCCGCCCCGTGGCTTACGATCCAGAACCGTGATGAGTAACGGACACATCAGTCACCTGCCGTGAAGCCTGAGACACTTTTGAAGGCAAACGTCTCTCCTTCTGAGCTGAAAGCCTTTTCTGCTCATTGCTCAGCCTCCTCTGACACGATGTAATGACGGTTCTGGTCTCACACTCACTTTTCTAAAAGGGTTTGGATTTTAATCTTGCAGCTGAAAGCCTTTCACCGGAGTCCTTACTGCTGAAACTCACAGCCAGCCGTCAGTGGAGCCGAACAGCAGCTGGAACAACTATTGCAGCCGAAACAGAGCTGCGTTGGCCTCCAGATGGCCGAGTCATTCTGTCACGCTGAACGCTGACTCAGCACTAATGCTGTTTTATGGTTATAGTTTCTTCTTCTGTATATTTTGTGCTTTTATAACCCGTCATGTATCAAAGTATTCAAATCCATCAGGAAGTGTGCTGACTTTTGTTTTTTATGTATTTATTTTTATTTGTCTTTTTAATTCCTTCTCTTTCTCTGCTGCAGGTTTCCTCAAAGTATTTTTAGCTTTAAAATAGCCTCTAGCTACTTTTAACTTTTAGCTGTACTGACAGAAGAAGTATTTCGGATGAAAGACGAAACATTTCTGCATTTTTTTTTTTTTGCTTTGTTTTGTTTTTTTGAATGTCCGGAGGACCAGACGTAACTTTTTTAGATTTTTCTACCTGGATTATTGAGCAGCATCAGGATATTTTAGATATACTGTTTCTGCTTTTAGCTAGCCTTTTGCTACTTTTGGTGATTAGTCAGCCTTTTTGCTACTTTTGGTGTTTAGCTAGTCTTTTTGCTACTTTTGCTGTTTAGCTAGTATTTTTGCTACTTTTGGTGTTTAGCTAGTCTTTTTGCTTCTTTTGGTGTTTAGCTAGTCTTTTTTGCTACTTTTGGTGTTTAGCTAGTCTTTTTTGCTACTTTTGGTGTTTAGCTGGTCTTTTTGCTACTTTTGGTGTTTAGCTAGCCTTTTGCTACTCAAAC